TTTTTTGGTGGAACCGGGGATTGAACTCAAGTCCTTGCGCTTGCCAGGGAAGCGCTTATTCCACTGAGCCATCTCCCCAGCCCCAATAATAATATTTATCATAGAGAATTTATACTTTCATGTGATATCTCATGCTGCTGCTTTTTGTCCCATTCCCCTCCCTTTCCTTCCACCTTTCTTCCTCTCCTTATAGAAGCTTTGTGTTTTTTCTTTCTACATTTTTTTTTTCTTGTCTCTTCTCCTCACGACACTTTCCTCTTTATCTGAACATTTTTTTCCCATTTCGCAGTATGTATTATACATTTCAGTCCTTATTTACACTTTTTGTATTTCACATCAGAGAAAGAAGGTTGTGTTTACACATGTATGTTTCATTTATTTCACTGGAAATAAATGGTCTCATGTATGCATTTAACTAGAAATGTCTCAAAGTTATCCTTCTGTATGGCAAGAGTAGTACTCCATTATATAAGAAAACCACATCTTTATCCATTCACTGGTTGATAAGCCTTAGTAATATTATCACATTTAAATTATTATTAATCTGATAGGTGAAATATGTTTAAGTGACTATAGTATTTTATTTTCAAGTGCTAAGATATTGTAAACATTCAGAAAAGCATACAAATCATATAGCAAATATACATATTCCCTTATCCAGATTTAACATACGTCAGTGTTTTGCCATATTTCATTCAGGTTTTTTTCAAAAGCAAAATAAAACATTAGGTTGAAGTAGGAAAAAAAAGATGAAGTAGAAACCTTACTAAGCTTGATATTGGGCACACCTATAATCTCAGCACTCAGGAGGCTAAGACAGGAAAAATTCAATAGACCCTGTCTCAAAAAACCAACCTTCTATATTGCCTTTCATTTTCTTCTTAAATGTCTCCAAATATGTGCATATATTAAGAAATAAGAGTATTTTGAATGTTAGAAGCACTTATATTAATAGATAAGAGGGTTTGGGGGTTTATTTTTATTCTTCTTGTGTGTGTGTGCTTTAAAATGTGCATAAGTGGTATTCAAATACTTTCTTACCACTTGCCTTTTTTTTTTTTTTCCACTGCTTTAGCGTCTTTCTGTGTACCTGTACCTAGGTCTCTGTATAGTATTGTTTTGTGTGAGCATACCAGGAACATTTATTATTATAGGTGATCCTTCAGAAAATGCCTTTGTATGTTTCCCCACCAACACCTCCTTCCCTTGCCCTCCTCTTTCTCCTTTTCTTCTTTAGCCTACCTACAGTGTCTGGCTAAAATGCTAAATTGTCCAGGCTGAGTTTGAACTTGGAGTCTTTCTGCCTCAGCTTCATAAAATACCAGGATTATAGGTGTGTACCACCACACTGTTTCTTCAGAGAATTTATCTGGAAGAGACATAGAGGGAAGGATGTTAGTTAATATACCAAAAAGCATTTGACAGTGGGGTATTCAATTCATAATTTTACAAGCTTTATGCTTTTGTTATAGGCTCACCAACTTTTTATATCCTCACCAACGTTTTGTGTTATTTCACAAAAATTTTACCAGTGTTATCGAGGCTAGCGTCACGCCTTGGGTATTGGCTGTTGCCTCAGTGTGTTAGAGTCCTCGAAGAATAACCACTGACCTTATTCACTGGCTGTGGGCAATGTGGCACAATCAGTCACCAGGGTTAAATTTTTTTTTTTAAACCAGTGTTATGAATTTGAAATGGTTATTTCTTCTGGGAATATAGTTCAGTGGCATAGTGCCTACCTGAAATGGTTATTTCCTTGTTCTTCTCAGGGGGAAAAAAATATCATTTTTATCTCTTTTGAGACAAAGTCTCACTATGTAGTTCAGGCTGGCCTTGAATTTACATTGATCCATCTGCTTTAGCCTCCCAAATGCTGGGATTGACAGTTATGAGCCACCGTGTCCAGCTACTTAAAAAATTTTTTTTATAGACAAGGTCTCACTGAGTTCCTCAGGCTGGGCTTGAACTCACTTCTCAAGCAGTTCTTCTAATGAAGTCTTTTTTGAGTAGCT